GGGTGGTGACTGAGAAGCAGGTGGCTACAGAAGGAAAAGAAGAGCAGTCGAGAGGAAGCATTTGGAAGTAGGATTCGGGGTGGGTAAGTGTGGGTGGTGGCATCCTGATAAAAGGATGAGAATGCCATCTAATCTGATCTCACGAAACACAGACATCCTGTGGGGTTTTTGTTGTTGTTGTTTTGCTTCGTTTTTTTGTTGTTTTGTTCTGCATTTTTCTTCAGGGAACCTGGTGAAACAGCTCTAGCACAGAGACGGTTGGAAGAGAGTCTAAACCGGCTAAGGACCTCGAAGCCTGGCTTGCTCTGAGGTGCCTACCAGCTTCTGTCCCTAGTGCTGAATTGGAGAAACGAGTTGAATATGGACACACAAGGGACAGGAACATGGGTCTTTGTCACCAGACTTTCAAGAAGCCCCTCCCCTTGCCTAACCCTGCAGAGGGTCCTTCTCTGTGTCTTGCTGGGTGTGTTTCTTTCTCCCTGGGGGCTGCTTCTGTCTGAGACTGCCCCTGCTGCTACCTGTTGAAACCCCGACCTTTTAATTTTTTAATTGGTTCAGAAAATGCATCTAGACAGTGACACCACCACCCTAAAAGCAATGGAATGACAGGGTCCCTTGTCCAGTCTCAACAACCAGCTTACCACAGTGGCTCACAAACCCTGGCCTTGAAATCCAGCCAGGAGCATTCCTGGGGTGGCTTTAAACAAACTTATTTTTTAATGGGCTAATTAATCTTAAAGGCCAAATGCTCTGCAGGGAGCTTTCATTTATTTAGTTTTAACTATAAGTAGAAGCATTTCTGAAAGATCCCTGGAATCATTCATTTCCATTTATACTGTCCACTGTGTGTTCCACAAGATGCCCTTGTAGCGAGCAAGTTCAGAAAGTCCCGGAGCCAGGGAATGTGTGCCTCTCTGCTCTTCGTTCTCAATGCTCTTGATGGAGTTCTTTGGGGATGTTTGAGTTAACTGCACACACTGGATCTGGTGGTCCATTACTTTATTGACCTCTAACATGACAGGGGACTTTGGCTGGGCGTTTTCACGTGGTTTCTGGGAACAGAGGCAAGCCTCCTCTCTCAGGTCAGAGAAGAAAAAATCACTAGCCTGACATCGCATGGCAGCTACAAAGCAGGGCCACGGTGCTCAAGAGCTCCAGGAAGTGTCCCTCTTGCCACCATTCAAGGCAGCTCAGCCCTAGTCTGTCTTCCTCCCTTGAAAGAAAGAGCTTCCAAGCCTGGGAACCAGGTCAACCTGGGCTGGGGACGACGACATATATGCTGGACCAAGGTAGGAGTATGGGAAATTCCCTATGCTTTCTGGAACCGGGATCCCTTCAGTGTTCAGTATGGCGTGAGTAGTTACGGCCCCCGTGAGGGGATGGTGTTTAGGAGTGATATGTCCCCAGGTCACAGTGTCCTCTCCCTGGCTGTCTGGTTGCATCCATGTGACCCTGAGTCCTTCCACCCCAGTTGCCTTCTCCCCTGCTTCATCTGAAACACTGACAAGTTCTTGGCTATCTCTGGCTCAGGTAACACCACTGAGTTATCTTCCTGCCAGCTTACTGCCATTCCCCTTGTCCGACCCAGACAAGGCACTCAACCAACCACGGACCTGGGGTAATGTGCAAGAGAGCACTCCGGAGACAGATGGTGTCTGGAGCCCGGCTCAGCTTTCCATTCCCAGAGGCTAACTCAGTGATTGGCATTGGATAGGTGTTTATTTTTAAATGAATGATGTGTAAATTAATTACCTAATTAAATAATCAGAAAAGACATAAGGTGTGATTCTCATGTAAATATTATTGCTGGATGCTCCTTCTCTGAAAAATGGGTGAAGAGAATCAGTCGCTACTGATTTTGGAATTGCTCTTCCCTCAAAGGGGACAGACTGAACACTCATCCTTCCCTTGACTTGATAGAGCAAGGGGTTCCTTTCTTGGGTGTTGGCCCAAATCGTCAAAGCTACTATATAAGGCCCTTATCTGTTTCTGACTCGACAGCTGGGCCCCCTCTATTGTGCCTCTGAATGAAGCAATGGGACTGAATTTTGGTTGTGCATCAACAGAGGCAGGACAAAGACTGTATGTCAGGTCCAGGACACGCTCCTAGGGTAATAGGTGTTAGCCTACCTGTCAGGACATGCTCCTAGGGTAATGGGTGTTAGCCTACCTGTCAGGACATGCTCCTGGGGTGATGGGGTGTTAGCCTACCTGTCAGGACATGCTCCTGGGGTAATGGGGGTGTTAGCGTACCTGGCCTAGTTGTAATTCTTTGCGTAGCTTCAGGATATACTGAAGTATTTGGGAAAATAAAAGCTGCACCCCCTGCAGACAAAAGGAAAGACAAAGTGTGAAGGTCCTTGTGGTGTCACCAGTGCCACCAACCTCACCCTGCAGTGTCAGGGGAGGCCTCGAATGCCAGTAGAGTTCTTGGCTAACAGGAGCCCTGGGTCAGATTCAGATTCTGAATGTGGACACTTGTCTCCTATGTGCTTGAAATATTATGCTTTCTTTATTATTTCCTTGTAAGCGTCTTGATGGAGCCCCACTGTACCCCACCAGAAATCTTATTTTATTAAAATGTATTGCATATTGTATATGATTCACAAGATATCTTAACAGATCTTGGAAAGCAGATCTTGGAAAGAATTGTACATATTTTGCCTAAGATTCTATGGATTGTATTAAGGATTAATCCATGTCTCTATTCAAATACATGATTCTCCTTATTTTCATCCATCAGTGGTCATCAACCCAGATGAGGGAATTTCCCCTTTGGCATTAAGTCCTTCGGAAATCTATCACCCTGGTTCTTGGATGGCCTCTACGTATAGCAATAATACAATTAATGAACTCTGAACTTTGGTGGAATATTTAGTCACTGCTAAAGAATTTCTAAATGAGCATGTCACGAGAGTCTGTGTGTGGCTCAGAGGTGTTTCCTAAGAGGGGGGTGGGGAATGACTCTTTGCTAATTTTGGCCACAAGACCATTAGCATGTGCAATGCAGTGGGAAGGGAGAATTTAAAGCATGACATGTTACATTAAAAGTGTACTGTTTGGATACTGAGGACTCAGACAAACCAGGTATTTACTACAGATAGTGAACTGGGGCTCAGTTCATATGTACTGGACACTTAAACAAAAGGAGACTATTTGGTAAGTTGCTGTATGCTCAGTTTAGGAGACCCATGTTAGGGCTTGCTTGCCTGCAAAGAGACACAGGCTTCCTAGCTCTCGCTGCTTTCAGCCCCTGCTGGGTACTAGTAGGGAGTGGTCCTAGCCTAACCCAAGGTGAGCAGCAAGTGGCCAGGGATCCACCTGTGACACCGTCAGGAGGGGGCATAGATCTGTGCAGGGAACATGAGTGACATATTTATCCACAGAGAACCCCAGGCATACTGAGAGCAGGAGGGGAGGGTAGCCAGCACCTAGCACCCTGCTAGGCTCAGTCATGCAACAGACACAAGGTAGAACCTGGTCAGAGACAGGAAGGAAGGCGAGGGACTGGGGCCAACTCATATTCCCCAAAGTTGCTGCAGGGTTTCCCTTGGAATAGAGCTTTGCAAAAAGTATGAAACACTCCTTCCATGGCCCTCTGCAAACATAAGAATCTGTGCAGAAGATTAAATCAAGGCAAGCCTCAGGGCCCCAAACTGAGAGACACCAAGGAACCCTAGGGAACACTGCTTTAGGGAAGAAGATGGAGGGGAACAGACACATGGGGGCTCGTGTCCCAGGGACTCTTCCGTCTCCATGGGCAACAGGACTGGAGGATTGGGACTAACAGTGCCACATGTTGGGGGTTTGTACAATTAGTCCAAAACAAAACAAAACCACAAAAAAATCCTTTGATGCCTAAGGGGATTGTGGTGGAAATAACAGTGAAGTAGGGTCAGATACCCAACGACCCTAACCTTTTTTCACCTGCGACCTGCCTTCTGACCTCTAACCTCTGACCTCTAGCCTCTAGCCTCTAACCTGTAACTTCTAACCTGTGGATTTCACTAGAAGCATGCACCTGTAGACAGGAACCTATGCATTACCTGTGTTCCTGGCATGCATTAACCGTGGAGAATTCTGTAAAGCCTTATCAACGTCGTCTGAAGTCAAATGCGGAAGGGGAGCTACAAAACAAAACAAAACACAGAGCAACACTGAGATGAAAGGGGGGATGAAAGAGTGGTCTTTCTTAAAGGAAAACATACCTCCCCACCCTAGCCTGGGGCGCCAGACCCGTCTAAACCCTCGACACTGGTTAATGTGTTAAATACTAGAAGGGATGACACCATACGGGCGAGAAGGTTGTGGGATGAGAGACACATCCACCAAGGGAGGCTCTCCACCTGCTTGCCCTTGGGATCCTTCTGGACCATGTTCCAAGTCGTCAACACTAGACTATGTAGCAACCCTTCAGACATGACCGACACCGACCAGTGTGCCACCCATTCTGTTCATCAGAAGCGAAAACCTCCCCATCTATGTTCAGTTTGGATGGAGGGAGGGACTCCACACAGTTGTGGTTTTTTGTTGTTGTTTTGTTTTGTTTTTTTGTTTTGTTTTGTTTTGGTTTGGTTTTTCGAGACAGGTTTTCTCTGTGGCTTTTGGAGGCTGTCCTGGAACTAGCTCTTGCAGACCAGGCTGGTCTCGAACTCACAGAGATCCGCCTGCCTCTGCCTCCCGAGCTCCACGCAGTTCTAAGGAAGAAGGCGACCCGCAGTCCCATCCAGGAAGACGGCACTGTTCATCTACATCATGAAGCCCTAAGCTCTACCGTGTGGTCCTCATTGAGTGAGAGCAAGGCTGGGGGTGAGCCTCTGGAAATCGTCTTTCGTCATCTTGCACAGCTCCTTCCCGTCAATGTTCTGAAACAACAAGACGTCCACGTCTAGAAGACCGTATTCTTTCACTGCCCATTCCAGCCACTGTCGGACATGGTCTGTGCTCCACAGAGTAGGGTCTGAAAGGGAAGGAAGACAGACTGGTCACTCCTAAAGGCAAATCTGAAGCAGAGAGTGCATCCCAGTGGTCAGCGCGCCAGCCCAGGCCTTGGAGCAGCCTCCCTCCTCCACAGAAGCACACGCCTGGGGCCAAGCTCAGTAAGTCACAGCAAGAGGAACAAGCAAGAGGGGGTGTAAGTCACAGTAAGTCACAGCAAGAGGGGGTGACAAAAAAAGAGCCACACGCACAGATCTCCACCGTCAGAGTGAAGCATCCTCGAGTTGAGGAGAATTTGATCTGCCTCTGCTGTAGCTCACAGTTTCCTGTAATAGATATCTGGGTTCGTTTTTTTTTTTTTTCCAGTTATTTTTCACTTTTATTTATTCATCTAAGAAAACGTACAAGACTAAAAGGCATCCCTCAAAAAATTACTGATGTGTTTATATAAAAGCTAGAGTCATAATACATTGTCAAGAGAGTGCTAATTATAGATTACAAAACCAGTATAAATAGGGCCGGGGCAGTAGCTCAGCCTGTAAAGTGTCTGCTTTGCAAGCATGAGGATCTGAGTTAAAGTCCCAGAACCTACTTTAAAAAAAAAAAAAAAAAAAAGTGGGTACAATGGCGTTCACTTGAAAGCCCAGAGACGGGTAGATCCCTGAGGCTCACCAGTAAGTCAGCCTAAGGTGTTTGATGAGTTCCAGAAGTCAGCTGGCCTCCACATACATACCCAGATATTCTCTCTCTCTCTCTCTCTCTCTCTCTCTCTCTCTCTCTCTCTCTCTCTCTCTGTCTGTCTCTCTGTGTCTCTGTCTCTGTCTCTGTCTCTGTCTCTCTCTCATAAAAATAACAACCACATCTGTGCAAACTACTAACCAGGGAGTTTGAAATAAAGTACAGGGGACTTAAAACCCTTTTTACAGCTAATGTGGCTTGACTGTGGCCAGGTTTTTCTCAAACAGACGGGGAGTGGAAACGGGGACTGGAGATACCCAGGTGGGGCATGAAGACGGGTGTAGAATTGGGGGAGGTGGGGAGGAATGCAGGTGGGAAGATGGAGCTGAGGGTGGGGATTAGGAGTAGAAATGGAAGTTGGGGTCAGAAAGGTCAAACTTTGCAATGTGGAATTTCAGAGTCACTAGGAATTTCTGAGGTGTGGAAAGCTGTCTTTAATTACTGCGAGCACAGAGCACTCAGTGACAATAAAGGAGACTCTCTTGGGAGTCAGAGCATGCATGTTTGGACTCTGGCCCCACCCCCTTATGGGTGAAAACATTGCCTTCTCTGGAGTTAGTCTTATTTTCCTATGGCTAATTAAATGCACTGCTGGGGGGGGGGGTCAATGAGATAATGTAGGGACACTTGGCCAACAGTAACAAACTGCAGAGAAGAGAAGCGTCCACAACTCTGCTAAAATGAAATAATCAATCTAATTTCCAGGGCTGCCTCTTCCTTTGTACACAAAAGCCTGATTTCTCTCTTATTTTAAGAGCCTTTTGGAGGTGCTTCTGTTGAGTGAGTCATAAGCCAATGGAGATAAGACACTGTTCGTTCAGCTTCCTCCTGGGAAGTTGGGGTGTTTTGGAAACAGCCATGTCCATGTTCCAAGGACAGCAAAAGAGCAAGGGCCCTCATCACGGAGAAGCATCAGAGATGCTCCTGCATTGTATCTTGTATCACACGATCAATGGTCCATAGTTTTATGAACTCTGTTTTAGTCAGCTGGGTCTTAAAACATATAAACACACCATCATATAGAGTTCCCAATTATGTCATTCTTAGTAACTATGTGTGGAAGAGACCTGTGTGAGCAAGGTGGGAGGAAGCCATAAAGACTTTCTGTGTTTGGGGAGATGACTCTGAGGTTAAAGACACTTGCTGCCAAGCCTGGCAACCTGAGTTTGATCCCCAGGACCCACACAATATGACACATCCAAGTTGTCCTCTGATCCTCACACACTAGCCATGGAGAGCCCTATCTGCCAACACAGTAAATGAATTAACATGCAATAAAAAAAAATAAGAAAACCCGTATTCTATTGCCATGAAATAAAATTCTGATTCAGCTGAGTTCATCAGCTGCCAGGAAACTATTAATAGATATTGACTGAAATTAGGTAAAAGAGTCCTGTGCTGTCAATAGCAGACCACACTGTCATGAAACACAACATAGTCAAACACTAACACTTCAAAAGTCCTTCTAGAGAATAGGATTAAACGTGATCTGAATTGATGAAGAATATCCACGAGAAATGCTGTGCCTTCCAGACATAAAGGTCACTCTTAGTTATGAAAAATGTGGAATATACAATAAAATAAAATGTACCTCACAAGCCATATTGAAGGCCTAGTGTAAGGTCTTTGTTGACAACCACAGGTCTGGGTCAGGTGACCCACTCTGAATCTGAGAGCAGCCTAGGAAATAGGACCAAACACTGGGCCTCTGAATGAGGGCAGAGCCCCTGTTTACAAAGCAGGCCCAGGAATTTCAGAAGTGCTCAATACCACAAACTGAAATTTGACTCTGAGAGAGGGACTTCCTCAAAGCTGTTTTTGAAACCTTCAAATTTATAATTGACGGCTTGTGGTTTATTTTCATCTATCCTCTTGGCACTAGTTTTTAATTTTATTGAAGTTTGGCTAGAGAGCAAGGTCTACTACAACACTGATTTTTTAACACTCTGGTTTGCTGGCCTTTGTGATGGCAGAGACCAAGGAGTGTTTGCAAATGTCCCTTTGTGTATTTAAAAGCAAATGTTACCTGTACATGCCAATTCTATAACTAACACACACACACACACAATTTTGTCATTGACTTACCAGTTACTGAGAAAGTTAAATCAAACTCACTCACTGAAATAAATTCTGTTTCCCTCATAATTGTCTATTTATTTTGAAACTATGTTACTAGGTACATTTGTTTATCACCATTATGTCTTTCTATGAATTCAATATTATGTAATAAACCTCTGCCATTTCCACTAAGGCTTTCTGTCTAAAGTCTTGTCAATGTTTTAATTTTTTTGGATTCTTGTTAGTGTTTGATCAATATGCTTCATTCCAGCTGTTTGCTCTAATTATTTTTTGTGTGTAAAATGTTTTTATAAATATCCATAATTGGTTTGGGTGAGTTACTTCATTACTACATTTAGATTTTATACTTCTGTTGCTCTTGCTTTGCTACCTCTTTCTCTGCCTCCTTCCTAGGATCTAATTTGATTCATTTATTCATCATTATCTTATGTGTCTAGGTGCCCTCTCAACGTGCCGTGTGCCATGTGTGTGCAGTGCCAGTGGAGACCAGAAGAGGGCATCAGATTCCCTGGAATTTAGAGCTACCATGTGTTAGGTGTTAGGAATGGAACTTTGGTCTTCTGCAAGAGCAGCCAGTGCTCTTAACCACTGTGAGCCATGTTTTAACCCAAATCTTATCTGTTTTTATTTTTATTTTCATCCCCTCTCCTACTGCTTTGGCCATTTCTCTTATTTCTTGTTGTTATTTAAAATAAATTTAAAGTTTCATCATCAAAGTTCTCTTTTTATCCATCAAGTAACAAAAGGAATGTAGAAAGCTTCATTTCCAATCCCTTCTCCTACATGAGAGGACTGCCATTCCACCTGTTCCAACCCCTGTCTAGGAGGCCATGGTGGTTATTGACACAATCCAGAATCACCTGGGACGAGATTCCCAATAAAAGACTATCTACATTGGGTTGGCCATGAGTGCATCAGTGAGTGCATTGATGAGTGCATTGGCTAATAAATTGATTTGGAAAGTCCCAGCCACCTCCAGGCAGCAGCATTCCCTAGGCAAGGGTTCCTGAATTGTACACAGTGTAAAAGGAGTGCTGGGTAAGCCACTGAAAATGCTACACGGATACATGTGACAGCCATTTCACACTCCTGTCACTGCAATTGTTTTGAGAAATAAACCTTTTCTTTCCCAAATTACTTTTGCCACAGCAGCAAAGGACAGAGAATATGTTTGTTACTTTGTACCCATCTGTTTCCAAAGTATATACTTAACTTTATTCCCCCAAGTGAGGGACAGTTAGCAATAGACTCTCACTTTTGCTTGAAAAAAAATCTAATCTCACCCTCAATTTATATAATAAATCAGACTATTTCTACAGTTTCCTGTGTATTCGCACAATGATTCTCTTCTTCATTTAGAACTACTTAGAAAAGGCCATGGCAGAATCTCATTAATTCAACAGACTCCACTGTGTTATCCCTGAGCTCTCCTTGGGTGTTTTTATTGGTGTCATATGGGATTAAGAGTTTACATGGGAGTCATACAACACTGGGCTAGAATTCTGGCTTTCCACAACACTGAATGGAGCATCTAGGGCAACTCTCTGGGCACCATAGCTTTTCTTCCTCAGTAGAGTGAGAACAATGAATATTCCCCATGTCGTATCTTGGCAGGGCCTTGCTGTGTGCAAGCGCTTGACGATCATGCGTATACAGTAGGTGGCAGCTGTCATCATTCTATTCTGTAAAACTGCAGTCTTACATATGTCCCCAAGCCATTTCCTCAGCCACCATCAGCTGGTAACTTCACAGATAAAGGAAACCCTGACTTCAGGGTTTCAGTTCTCATTTGTCCGGTGGTTTACTTGGTGGGGTTGGCACAGCAGGAGTCCAAACAGAAACATGACATATGAGCAAGGTCACCAAGAAAGCTTGGTGGGGGTGACAAAGGCAAATGAAGGACTGATTATAGGGATTTTTTTTAACCAGTGGTTTTTTTTTGGCAGACCTGGGCATTAGCTCTGGCCCCATGCAGCTGTGTGGGAGACCCTGGGACAGTGTCTTCATCTCTTTGAGTATTGATTTTCTCATGTTCAAAGGGAGAGTTTGGACTGTGATTTCAAATCACCTTGAAACTCCCATTATCTCTGATTCCGACTTAATAAGTGACAATTATCATCTGCTCAACAGGTTGCCTTTACTGTCCCTACCTGCAGCTCTGGTGATTAGGACACCGTGGGCACAACCTAGTCACACACAGCCCCA